TAGGATATTTCAAATTTAACTTTGAATAACTTCAGAAAGAGTGAATTTATTAGAAAATAATATGGGATTTTTTATTAGATCGTTCATTTTCTACAAAATAATGTATCTCGCTTTTCGGTACATTGCATGTAGTCATAAAATTCTGAAGTTAAAAAAAAAGTTTTTCCCTTTTTATTTATATATAAAATCGAAATATTTGATTCGTGACATGTAAATATTAGTATAGAAGCTCAAATTTTGACAAGATCTCTATTTTGGTTTTCTCAGAAAAAATTTTAAGATCGTTTAAAAAATATAAAATTGTCCGTTTTTGTGATATATGCCAATAAATATATTTATAGGTATACCTAATAGTGATAAACGTCAATAAAATAAACTATCGAGCAGATTAAAAACTATATACACCGCAAAAATCTAATTAATTTTTTAATGATTAAGTTTCTATGTAAAACCGTTGAAATATTGAAAAAAAACTTATGAATAGAAAGTAGCAAATTTTTTTTTATTTATAATGGTTGCAAATATGATTCCTTTGATACAAATAAAATAAATAAATAATTTATTTCCTGTGAGGAAGTAATTTTATTCATTCGAATGATGATTTACATTGCATCAACTGTCATACTTATATGAGTAACAAATATATTTATCATTAAATAATTGAAAAAGAATATTTAGTCCTAACTATGAAATAAATATTTTTCCTTTTGTTTCGATATTCAGTATTAAAGTATTAAACTACTTCGTTAAAAATGTCTTATATTTATCATCTCGTGTAGTGTTATTAATATTTAATTCGATGACATGACGGGAAGGTGGAATGGAATTTTCATTAAAACCAAAAGAATGAACTACAAAATGCGGTCACGATGATCATAGAGTTTATTGTCGTGACCCAGAAAATAACGAGGAAATTCTTTCACGCTCATGTATTTTCTATTAAATAAAAAAAGTTATTGATAAACTTGAGTGAATTTGATTATAAAAGCCTTGTGATACTTTTATGCGATTAATTATCGCTTATATTCAAATACTTTGTTGCTATATTTTTCTGAGATTATAATCTTAATGCAAAACAACGTTACATATATACAATTACAGTGATAATTTATTACCGATACTCTAATCGTTATTTGTGAATTTTTTCAATGTAACGTGATTTATACTTGATAAGTCAATTATTTTATTTTCACCGGACACAATTTTACAATTTTTTATTTTTACCTAAATTGTAATTCTACTCCATTTAATAAAAAAAAGTTTTTTCAACTTCCCTCTAAGAAAATAGAAGATTTTCGAAAATCGGGAAGTTATTGGCGTGTATGTGTGTGTGTGTGTGTGTGTGTGTGTGTGTGTGTGTGTGTGTGTGTGTGTGTGTGTGTGTGTGTGTGTGTGTGTGTGTGTGTGTGTGTGTGTGTGTGTGTGTGTGTGTGTGTGTGTGTGTGTGTGTGTGTGTGTGTGTGTGTGTGTGTGTGTGTGTGTGTGTGTGTGTGTGTGTGTGTGTGTGTGTGTGTG